CGCGCCCTACGGTGAAAATCTCTCAAAAAAAAAAAAAAATTAAAAAAAGATCCCAAGAGGAGAATGGAGTAGAAGGGATTGCGGCATGCCCATCTCCCCTGGGGGGTGATTTCTTGCTTTCTATCTCTGTCTCTTTCTGGTGAGCACATGCATCCATAGCAAAAACCTCTCAAAAAAATTATGACATAGAGATTAGCTTAAAAATAACACAGGAGCGGGACCAGCAGTTAGCATAATGGCTATGTCGCTGGATTCCCATGTAGTCAACTGCAGTTCACGTCCCGGACCCAGTGGCTTAAAGTTCACACCGGGCGTGTATGCATGTATGCCCAAGATCCCGAGGAGAATGGAGAAGGGATTGTGGTGTGGCCATCCCCCCTGGGGGGTGATTACTTGCTTTCTATCTCTCTGTCTTTCTGGCAAGCGTGCGCACCCTATAGGAAAATTCCTCTACAAAAAAATAAATAAATAACGGGAGTGGGCTAGCCCATGGTCTGGTGGTTAAGGCAGCTGGGGTTAACTGTATGGTTCAAGTCCCAGATCCAGCAACTTGAAATGACACTAAGTGTGTGTGCCCAAAATCACGAAAGGAGACAGAAAAGAAAGGATTGTGGCATGACCATTTCCCTGTGGGGCATGTTTTCTCGCTTTCCATCTCTTACTCTGCCTCTCTGGAGAGTCACTGTGCCCTCTGGAAAACTTTTTAAAATTTATATATATAGGAGAAGGCAAGCATATAAATGAAATGAGATCGGTAGCTATGAGGTTTTTTTTTTTTTTAAAGAATCATTTAATTTTACTTATTCATTCATTTATTTTAATTTGATCAGAGAGAGGGAGAAAGGAAGCCATCAGGTTTAGGACTCAAACTGTAGTTGGCCATATAGGAGTGTTCAGTGCCTTAACCCCCACGCCACCTGTTGGCCCTGAGTTTATAATTGCTGAGGTAAGGTTGAGTAAATGGAAGTACACTAACTATTCTACTTTTGTGTTTGTTTAAAAGTTTCCATACTATTAAGTTTTAAAAACAACAATGGGACAAGCAGATAGCGTAATGGTAATGTTGCTAGAATCCCATGTAGTCGACCACAGTGACTTAAAACTCCCATAAGGCGCATATGCATGTGTGCCCAAGATCCTGAGAGGAGAATGGAGAAGAAAGATTGTGGAACGAGCATCCCCCTGGGAAGTGATTTCTTGCTTTCTGTCTCTGTCTCTCCATCAAGTGCATGCACCCTAGAGAAAAATCTCTCTTAAAAAAAAAAATCTGGGGGGCAGAGAAAGCAGCCACTGTCCTCTCACTTTATAGAAAAGGATAAGTGGGACCAACAGGTGGCATGGTGGTTAAGGCACTAGACACTCCCATGTGGTCGATCACAGTTCAAGTCCTGGACATGGTGGCTTGTTTTGTCACTTCCCCCCTTCTCTCTCTCTCTCTCTCTGTATTTTTTGGTCAAATTAAAGTAAATGGATGAATAAATAAAAATTAAATGAATATTTCTTTAAAAAAAGAGAAAAGGATGAGTAATTTGTAAAAGCCATGCAACTAGTAACAATTATGATGCTACACAGAGTTGTCAATGTGGTAGTTTATTATAATTGGCGTTATGATAAAAAGTACAGAGTGTAATAATACTAAAGCTAACACTACTGGGCACTTATCAGGCCCTGTTCTAAGTGCAGTACTTCACTACATTAATTTAATCTTTGCAACCATGTAGTCGATACATAATTTTATTATTCTCATTTTATTTTTTTCTAAGAATTATTTTATGTATTCATTCATTTATTTTAATTTGACCAGAGAGAGAGCGAGAAAAAGAGAAAGAAAAAGTGGGAAAGCAAACCACCATGTCTAGGATTTGAACCATGGTCAGCCATGTGGGAGTGTCCAGCACCTTAACTACCACGCCACCTACTGGTCCATATTATTCTCATTTTATAAATAAGAAAACCAAGGAACAGAGAGATAAAACAAATAATGTAAACACAAGGCCAGTATGTGACAAGCTGAGATTTGAGTCAGGCAGTCTGGCTCCAGAGTGGACACTTGATACTATATATATCAGCTATATATGTCAGCTCTAGTAACTCTGATTGGAATCAATTCAGTACTCTATCTGACCCATTCAGAAACTATATGCAGGGCTACTTCCATTACAAAAAGCTACCGAAGATTTTGTGACAAGCATTAGACCACATTTTCTTATCAGCCAATCAACTGATAAATCATGAAGAGGTCTATTCAGCCAAAGATCCCTGCCCTTGTACAGAAAAAAGAAATTCTACTATAGCTAAGTGCATGGTTAAGAAAAGTGCAAGCGTATACCAATATTCTCTTACCCACCCCTACCCAACCCATGTTGTCAGAAGCTGTTTCTCATAACATTTTTCTAGAAACATCCTCAAGATGTGCTTAGTCAGTTTAAAGCTCAAGAATTTATGTAATAGAAGCTATCCCAGCTCAAATCCCCACAGCAGAATCTATAAATGATTTTACTTACTGTAATTCTGACATTGCCCCAGAACTGATCCAGGGATTTCTATTTTAGCTTTGTTTTTACCTTTCATGAAGATTGTGTACAGGACATAGAAGCGGGGGAAATGACGACCCAAGAAGCGATGGTATTTCCCATTAATCACTTTTGTCTTGTTCACCACGTAAGAGATCAAGCTCTTCACTTCTGCCTTTGGAGAAAGGTGAAACTTTGAAGACCTACAAGGAAGATCAAAGAGACTATCTGGGAACCAGTCCTAGGAGCTCTCTCACAAATGGGGTCCCGAATGTAAAAACAAGTCTCAGGATATATGTCAAGACTTGAAAATTCTGAAATTCAAGAAAGATCTTGGGGTTAGGAGACAAACGTCAGACTGAGAAGAGAGATCAGAAGCAGCCCGGCAGGAAGGGAGGAGGCATGAGTCTGAAGAGAGCGCAAGGCCTGTGGGACAATTCGAACTGAGGCTAAAGCCAGAAACACGTGGACTGAGATAATAGCGGTAAAACCTGAGCCGGAAAAACGGAGGCTGAAAGATGAGCTCAAGACACTCAGGGAGATGAGCCAATATGTGGCACCGAGAGTTGAGAGCGTCAAAAATGCCAGGGCATCAGGAGGGATCGAGGTGTGAGTCCTGAGCAGAAAAATAAAAACCCCGGGCCCAGGCATGGAACCCTGAGAATTAAGAGACAGCATGCAAGCAAGGCTGAGCCACTGGAAGGACCTGGACATCAAACATGCTTTTATCTTTCCAGGTCCCTCACCGAGGGGCACCCCAAGCCAGGCCAGGGCGACCAAGCTGCAGCCTCCGGGTGACAAAAGGT